CTTTTACCAACGAATAGTGGGATTGACCGTCCCTTTATAACGCCCCCACTGCTGAAAAGGCGAGCATGTTTGGTGGGACGGGGATTTGAACCCGCCACCCTCAGATTGCGAGTCGAGCACCCTAACCACCTGGCCCCTTAGAAAGGAGATGAGCGTCTCCAGATAAATCTGTCTGAGAATCACCGAAGGTGTCCCAAACGTTCGTCAGCTGCTTGGGGACTCCAAAATGTGTCCACCCCCAGTGGCTCAATAATAAGTGTGAGGTCCCACACTGCTAAAAACCGGGTTTCGATACTCGTTATTGGGCACAGCACAGACAACCCATTGTGTAGCTTTGTGCTTAATAACAAAGAAACAAACAAACGAGGAAATGTATTCGCTTAAGCTACAACTGCATTTGATTTTACCCTAACTTCCGATGGTTTAGATATTATTCTCTATAATATTAACGAAATAAAGTACCAAAATTGGAAATAATGATATCGTGTATGTTGCTTTATTTTGGAACGCCTGTATATATATATAGCCCAGTATATATATATATGTTAGCCCCCCAGTAGCACAGCGGTATGTCTGCGGACTTACAACGCTAGAAACCGGGTTTCGATACCCGTGGTGGGCAGAGCACAAATAGCCCATTGTGTAGCTTTGTGCATAACTGCAAACAAACAAACAAACTGTTATAGCAAAAGCAAAATTTGGATAAAGATATAAAATGAATACTAGAAGACCCCTCAATGAATTCAGATGTATCTTGGGTTTAGAAAAGTCTGTTTTTTAGATCAAAGGTTCTAATGAGTTTCACATAATTTTATACATACTAATATGCAAATATCTCATGATCTATTTTATTTACAATTAAATTATCATTTGTCCGCAAAATTACATATAGTTAAGTAGCAATAAATACAATCTTACAAGTGTTTAACCTCAAACCTGACGCTTCATTAGATGTGGCTTTTGATAGAATACAACAACAGAGAACAACAACAACAACAAATTCTAAGGCTACTAAAAATGTCGTTTTAGAATAAAATTTCTTGTTTTGTATGAAATATGTTTAATTGGTTTCTTAACTGAATCACTTGTTATTACTTTGAAAACAATAGTTTGATTACTTTTGTATCATAGGATACCAGATAAAAATATATAGTTTCACATTGTCTTATTTAAAATTTTAAAGTTCAACTCAGTAAATTCAGTTACAATCAAATGAAGACAAAGGGTAAGGTACTAGTAGATTTTAGTAATTGGTTAGAACAATATTAAACAATTTTTAATTTGTCTTCCTATATCAGTAGAGAAATAAAGTTCGTTGTTCAACCTGTTTAAAGAGACCGAGAGTTAATTGGTTAACGCCCTCTTGCGAAGCTAAACTTGTTCATTCCGGTTCTTGAAAAAGAAGAAAAAAAAAAAAGATTATGGAAGTTTGGTGTAAATTTCATCTATAAACGTTTACGAGAAACAAACAAACAAATCCAAGAAGTAGCTTTTGAGTTAGTTCTTAAAATAAAATTTCAATTTACAAACATAGTTTCTGATGATTAAACTGGTAAATCAGCTACATTTTCAAATTGGTGGTGCTCAAAGAGTATAACTTTAGTGTATCTTAGTTGTGAACGCATTTCAAGTTCAACATACGTAAGTCAGGATTTTTTTTAGCCTTTGTTCATGACTTCATACACTTATTGTTTGTCCTAGAACATGTTGATCCATGTCAACTAAGTTTTTTTTTTTTTTATTGAAACTCGTTCTCATAAACTAGTTAATAAAAGTTGGTTTCATGGTCACCAGTTACCAGACGTCTAGCATTCTTAAATGTTGGTATGAACAGGTTTGACAAGGTCCTCGTGTCTGTATATGAATAAGTGTTAATTTTGTTAAAACTAGCTGGGTATGTCCACGATTCTATCTCTTGTCACTCGCGAGATCAAGTTAAAGTCACCAAACCAATTTTTTTTAAAGATCTGTACATAAGTTTATAAACCTATATTTTTCTGGCATTCAATCTGCTTAGCAGTTTTTGAGGCATATCGTGGACGTAACTTGTCTATATGTAAAATTTATTTATTAGTTTTTTTTGTAAAGATAAATGGTTTCAGAAATATGGGCCCGGCATGGCCAGG